GGTTGAACCTAGGCCTTCAGGCATATAAAGACCTGCCCCCCTGAACCATGCAGCCCCATGCCCACCTGGATTCCTGGAGGCTCCAGCTCTTCTGAAAGAAGCCAGCTCTCTGTGGCCTCCCTGGGCTGCTGATTGCCCTTGTCTGGCCCTTTCCTTGTGATTTTGGGTTCCCTTTTCATTCTGGTTGGCCCCAGGATCCTGCTTTCTGATTGGGTCCTCCCAGGACCCATCTCCTCCAGCAGCAATCTCTGTCACCCTGACACTTGGCTGACATGCCTCACCCTATCCTCTTCATCTACAGATCAGGCAAAGCCAACTTCCATTCCGGGTTCAGACTGAGTGTAGGCAACTAAGGGAGGAGACTCCAATTCTAACTCTTTCAAGTTTAGGGAGTGAGTGAGGCATTCTGCCTTAGGATAAGAACACATCACCCCCCTCATCAGGGCTCCTGTCCTGGACCTGTTCCACTGCCCCTCAGACTTCTGGGCCCCAGGTGGGGTTGGCATGGCAGCAACAACATGCTAATATACAGGTACCACCTATGCTGGACAGTGTCATGAAACAGTACACAGGATGTCCTCCAAGCCTCAGAAACACCTGATCCCAGGCCACAGCAACTGACTTTAATGGCTTTTCCTCTACTGAGGCAGAAATCAGGGTCCCAATACTCACCTGAGCAGATAGCACCAGTAGCAGCGTAGATGACCAGGCCCCTGCAGCCCATCTTCACGCCGGCATTGTAGTCGTGCCATTTGGTAGAGTTGGAGGAGGCCTGTTGCAGAGAGAGGAGGTTGAGTGCATTTGCCACCCCCAGAGCAGAGGAGATTACTCTGCACTCCCATGCAGGCAGATTGAGAGATGACAGATACTATAGTGAGGAGGAGAAGAATCAACCCAAGTTCAGGTCAGTATCTGGTAAACTACTCTAGTCCCTCCAGTCCCCACAGGACTCCGTTTCCCACAATGAGAAGTGAAATCCTGCCCATGGTCCTGAAACAGGGCTGGTCTGGACTGGCAGAAAAAGGTGTATGTAACAGATCCCTGTGACCACCTACACACCACGAGGTAAGCCCAGAACCACTAGCAGGGTCTGGCAAGAATAAAAATAGGCTGTTACTTTGATTGCTGAATCAACACTCCATTCACGATTTGTGTGTGGAAGCACCTGGTATTCACAAATGGTCACCACAGACCCCACCATCACAACTTTGTCTAAGCTTACACAATTGACCATATATTGAGGTATGTTCTGGCCAGCTGCCTGCTGGGCATTACTCCTGGCCCACATGGGCATGTGGGTTCAAGGGTAGTAGTGCATGTAGGCTCACAAGTAGCCCCAGACATGGAGACTGCCTAGTTCTCCTGTATAGTAGAGCTGCTAGCCATAGAGTGCTCACCTGGGGGTCCCCTTCGAAGATAACCCGACCCATGAAGTCAGTATAGAAGACAGCCTCTGTGATGACGGAGAACCAAGTGAGTAGGTGGCAGAGGCAGAGCCGCATCAGTTCCTTGGGCATCTTCAGCATGGACAGCCACAGCAGGCGCACAGTAGTCTCTGCCTCGCCCTCCTCGCTCTCTGTGTCCCCACTGGAGGCAGTGGCCCCGCTCTGGTTGCGGTGCCTGGATCGCTGCCGCTGCTGCAGGTCATATAGGTCACTCATGCTTCGAGATGGCTTGATCAGGACCACTGCATTGGCCCGGCGGTAGCGGTAGCAGTGGGACCCAATCTTACCATAGTAGGAGAAGGTGCTAGAAGCCTGTCTGTGGAACGTGTGCCTACGCCGCCTCATGGAACCAGACGTGGCTGAAGGCTTCAAGTCCACTTTAGAGCGGTTACTGAGTGAATCCATTGGTGGGGAACCTCTCCCATTTGGGACTTTAGCTTCATTCAAGTGATTATCAAGCAAGGTGTCGTCCTCCTTGGTGGACTCCCTGAGGAACGTAGACAGGCGGGGCAGCTTGGCCCTCAGGAGCTCCTGGCTGGTGCTCCGGGGGGTGCTGGGATAGGAAGCATCATGGAAGATGGAGGGCTCTATGTCATGCAGGAAGAGCAGTTCAGGCTCCATGTCCAGAGTGGCATCAGGCATGTGCAGCACCGAGTCACTCTTGCTGCGCACGATGTCCACATTGAGGTAGTCCAAGGACAGCTCGTGCTCTGACTGCACCTCATCTGGGAATGGGGGGCTGCCATCCTGCACACCCCCACCGAGGGAGCTGAGACGGGTAGCAGGGGCTGGGGCGCTAGGCTGGACACTGGTGCCGGGCAGGGTGGTATCTTCAGGACTGCGGTCCTGCTGTGGGCTATACTGTTCCTCTTCTATGCTGAAGAGATGCAGGGCCACTGACACCGAAAAGATGATGGCAGCGAAGAAGAACAGCACCTGGTTCTGTGTCCGGAACCAGTCACCAAGGAAGGTCTGTGTCCAGTCCCGCCCACCCAGCACATAGCCAATGGCCCCACCAAGGCCTGTAGGAAGAGAAGTGACAGTGAGCCTCAGACCCAGCACAGGGCTCTCCCTTACACAGGGGGAATGGGTTATGTGGCAAATCAGTGAGATGGAGAATAAAAGGACAGCTGAGATAAACACAACAGAAACTCAGATGACGGCACAGATCTGAAAACTAGCCTAACATTATTCCCAGTTAGAAATAAAGACAAAAGGAGTCTCAGGCCTGGAAGCAACCCCAGCCCACCTGTGTGTTCCCCAGGCAGTGTCAGTGTGGGGCCCTCACCACGTCCCCCTGGCACACACGTCATCCAGGCAGCCTTTACTCTCTCCTAGCTCTGCTCCTCAGTCCCTTAATCCACTGGGTTCATGGGTCAGGAGTGAGTCATGGTGCTTCCTAAGGCCCCCTTTCTGGTCACTGCCACTAAGGAGCACAGATCCAACCCTCCCACCTTGGGCCTGGCATGAGCTTTACCAGCAGAGAAGGCGTGGATGTTGAGGGCCATATCTTGCTCCTCGCTGTCTACCACATCCAGCAGGTAGGCACGGATGGGCCCCTCAGTTGCATCGGCACTGAAATCCAGGACCACTACTCCCAGCACCGTGAGGACAATGCCAATGGGCTGCCGATTGGGAACATCGCCAAGCGCCAGACCTGGACAGAGCATGGGGAAGCAGTCAGACTCCAGTGCCAACTGTCAGGTTCCTGAGGCAGATGCTTTCAGGACAGCAGTAAGCTTCACCCCATTTCTGTGGTTTGTGGGTGTCCCCCCACTGTCCAGCCCCCAAGAGTCCCGTCTTATAAAAAAATACTTATGTTATTATGGGTCTTCTTGCTTGTAATGTATGGGTGTGCACCTTGTGCATGCTTGATGCCTGCACAGGTCAGAAGAGGGCATCAGATTTTTTGGAAGTGGAGTTACAGATGGTTGTGAGCTACCATGTGGATGCTGGGAATTTAACTTGGGTCTTCTGCAAGAGCAGCAATGCTTCCCACTAAGCTATCTCTCCCTCACTCCCTCATAGTTTTTCAAGCAAGAAGGGGGAACAGGCTCCTTCTTCTTTATCCATTAGCAGCAGTGGCCACTGGCTGGTAAGACAACTGGCATAAACTGCAGTGGTTGTGCAAGGGCCACCACCTCTACCTCTCTGGGGATGCCATCTACTCCTCTTCCCACCAACCCAAACTCCCTGTGCTGCTTCCTGAGCTGGTTGGCTCTGCCTCAGCATCCAAGCTAGACAACAGGCTTTGAGTATATAAGGACCTAAGTAGGAAGGCATGCTGCCTTGGCAGGCAGTGTGAGGTGAGCCTCTGAGGAGGCTGTCCTCACACAGCAAGCCTCACCTGATTGGGGAGCCTGCCTGGACCCAGAGATCAATCCCCAGTCTTGCGCCCTGGGCTGGTCACACTGGCGCCAACCTGTAGAACTAGGAGTGGGACAAAGACAGGCCTGGCTGTGAAGTACTGCCCTCTGACTGCACCTCGACATACTGGCCCATGGGTTGCCCAGGAGGCCCCACTGGCAAGAGAAGAGCTTAGGCTGAAGGGCTGGTGCCTCCAGGCTGGCTGTATGTGGATCACCTGTGGCCAGGGCCACCCCAAGAATGTTCTCTATACATGACACTGTATATGGGAAAGTAAAGGAATACTCGCAGGTGACAAGCAGTGAAAGCCAGGAAAGTGGTACCCCAGACTCCGAGACGGGAGCTGTTCCTGGTAGAGGAGGCTGCCTTGTACAGGTATGAATCAGCAAGGAGATAGGACAGGAGGGGAATGAAGCAAAGCTACCAGAGACTGTCCCTATCCTGGCCCTGAGACACTGTGACTCCCCAAGGAGGCAGTGGTCTTCTGGGGCCTCTTTGCCCATAGCCATGCTGCCACTGGAACATGGGCAGACCTGTGCTTCAGAACCCACAGGGCACTCCTTCACCCACTGAGCCCAAAAAAGAAGGTTTTGTTTTCACGGGTTCAAAAGGGTGCCTGCAGGGCACAAAATATTTTCCCACACAGAGTGACTTTAATGAAAAACAAAACAACAGAAAGAGGCAAAACAACACATGAGGCATGAACCAAGAAAACAAACAGCAAACTGGGTTCTGGATATTTTCACTGCCATGTCTAAGAAAAGGAGAACAAAAAAGGAAAAGATAATTTCTGAAATCACTCTGGAAACAGGACGTGGTGTCAGATACGCATTAAAAACAAGCCATCACAACAGGAAGCGTTTCCCTGTGAACAGGTTCCTCCAGCTTTCCCATGTGGGGCCAGTTCCACTACCAAGCTCCCCGCTGCACTCTCTACCAGGCGGCCCTCAGCGGCCTGAGCTGGTTCAAGCTGGTTCCTGCACACAGCAACCCAGTGAAGTCATCAGATAAGGCCCCCAAAGCGTGCACTAGTATAAGCTCAGCAAACACTCACCAATGGCAGAGCCGTTGAGGAAAAGTGCAACACCGATAAGGACCCCCACACACAGCACGAGGATGAAGGGCCGCCGGCGGCCCCAACTCAGGGTACAGCGGTCACTTGCTGAGCCAATAAGCGGTGTGAAGATGAGGCCAAGGACGGGGCTCAGGAACCAGGTGAGGCTGTAGTACTGCTCAGGGAGGCCTGCAGGGACACACAGCCTGTCACCCCTCACTCATACACATCCCACATAAACACATACTCTTGCCCCCTCGAGTCTCCTCAGGATAGACCTTTTCCCTGAGGGTCTTCTGGCTCTGAGGATGCTAGACAAAGAAGGTACTCCAGACCTTGGAGCTAGTACGGGGCTCTGCCTGCAGGGCCACCATGCTGAGCAGGGTTGAGCTGCTCTAAAGCCCTGCAGGGTACCAGGCATGGCCCTGTCTCTCCATAGCACAGTGGGTACAATTGCAGGAATAATTAGAATCACTTAATTTTGGACGTCACTGGGGAAAAACTATCACAGAGGGTCTTGCCAAAGGCCCTAGAAAGCCACCAAGGCCCTCAGTTACCTTGGCAGTGGGTGCCCCAAGCACGGGAGTGGTATAAGTCCACACATACCCATCTGTAACCAAGGGGTGGTAGCCAGTACCCAATGTCCCTTCTTCCATTTTAGCTCTCCCTGTCTAGGCATGGCATGAGTGTGGTGACCTCAGGGTGGAACCTGGGCAGCCTGACACCAGAGTCTATGGCACCTCCCTGTCATATAAAACTCAAATGTGGTGTCAATAGACAGATGAAGGATGACAGCCCTGGGCACAGGCCAGAGCCCTGCACAGCAACTAGAATGCACTTGCACAGTGGCCAGCAGTGATGAGCCTTTCTCTGTGCCATAGAGATCCTTGCTCATAAGCATATACCACACCATTCCCTTGAGTGACATCCAAAGTCTCATAAAGGAATCTGCTAGTCCAAGTCAGAGTGCTGGTTATCCCTACAAGGGCAGTACTGGCTGCTGGGTGAGCAATGGCACACCATATGTCCTGGATGTGGTTGGGAGGCTCTGAGTGTCAGCATAAAATCAGCACAACTCTCCAAATTTTACAATAACCCATAGTTTGCTTAAAATCCAAAGGGCCTGGCATGTCACCACTTCATCAGACAAGCATTTCACACTCTAAGGACACCGAGGAAACAAGACTCATGTTGAGCTGGCAAGAAAAACAGGCATTGTGTGGGAGGAGAGCATGCTTAAGGGAGGAAGCACCTTGCAGAACCCCTTGCCATCACACTATTAGGTACCAGGGCACTCCGCCAGGGTCTAAGGTATGTGTTCTGACCTCTGCAGCCATGTCTGGCCACAGGAAGGCTAGATCTGTTCCCATCCCAAGTCAGCAGAACAGACCAGAATCAGGGAACTAGAGTCTGCCCAGTGAGTTCCAACAGACAAGCCAGGTGGGGCTCTAATGCAATGTGAGCTCTTCAGCTTTACTAGGCAAGGCACTCAAGGGGCCATGGCTGTTCCCAGCCATACTTCCCTTATCTGCCTTCAGTAACACCCATGTCATGTGCCCTGTGTCTTAGCACAACCCCTAATCAAAATGACCCAGAGTAAACAATGCAGTCTAGGATTCAGGGGAAGAAGCACCATGAGCCTCCCATTCGTCATGCCACCAACTCCAAGTAAATAAGGAGCCGAAGCCACTCCTGTATGCATGGGACATCTTTATGGCTTGCCCTTTCCTGCCTGGGGCAACCCGCCTACTGTCACTTGACAACACCTGGGGAATGGGGGAGGGTTACCATTCAGGAGGTACCACACAGCCTTTGGCTGCCCACAGTGCCTACCCACCCTGAATACAGGGTTCCAAGCTATATAAATATAGATCCAGAGGCCCTGGGTTTGTCCCAGTCAGGCTATGGCTCTCTGGAGACACAGACCAACAAGTTCCCTTGTCCCTCTTCCAGTCAAGAGCCAAACAGGACATATAGAGGTTTGCTGACTCAATCAGGCTGTGAGACAAGGCCTGGATGGGCCAGGCCCTCTCTCCACCCACCTTTAACTCAGGTGCTCTCAGTGGCCAGACCTCTCCCAGCGAGGTGACAGTGACAACACCAATGGAGCCTGTGGCCCCACCACCCTGGCATCAGCCCTTAGTAACACAGACTTCAGGAAAGCCACACTAGCAGGTTACACATGCAGAAGTCACAGATGATTGACAGGCTCAGAAGTCTGCAGCATCTAGCAAAGGATCAGGAAGTAGCCCAGACAGTGGGAAAAACAGGCATGGGTATTCATCTGAGCACCCAGATGGAAGAACAGTGTGCTTCCCATCTCTAGACTACAGATGAGTAGTCTACTACAGTACTCTACAGACTAGAGTAGAACAATAGATGCTCTCTCATAGGATGAATGGGCAGACAGTGCAGGCTCTAAAGCATGGTGTCCAACTTGTTGACACTTGGACATGACACTATCATCTATAATATGTTGGCCTACATTCATAGCTATCCTGTGATACATCCATCCGTGGGCCATAGGATACACACACATGGTGTAGAACAACAGGCCCTGCTGTACCCAAAATGACCTTTTGAAGCAGCCAAGAACTGGCTACCAAGGGAGGTCATTCACTGACACTTATTCACTCAGGAAATGCGAGTCAGTGAACAGTACTGGCTCCTCCAGGTGGGCATGGCTAGCAGGAAGTTGCACAGGAATAGGGATAGAGCATCCCAAGGATCAGCTGTCAACATTTCTGCAGTTACTGACAGCTATAGCCATCACAGCCCAACAGCTATGGTTCCAGAACGGGGTGAGCAAACTCTGCTGTCCAAGGTCATGTGGTCCGCCACATAAATCTTACAAAAGATGGCTGTAATACTTCCTAGACAAAATGCTTATGGAGGGGCTGGAGAGATGGCTCTGTGGTTAAGAGCACTGGATGCTCTTCCAAAGGACCTGGCATCTGTGACAGCTCATAACTATCTGTAACTCCAGTCCCAAGGGATCTGATACCTTCTTCTTGCCTCCATGAGTACCAGGCACACATGTAACACAAAGACATATTTGCAGGCAAAACATCCATACACATAAAAATAAATTAACTAAAAAAAAAAAGCTTATAAAATTCAAGCTTCAGTGTCTTATGCACAGCTAGTCCATCTGTTGGGGTCTGGGGCTGCTCACTCACTGGCTCCAGGGGCAGAGATGAACACTAGCCATAAGCTGTCAATCTCACTCTAGCCCTTTGTCTTCTATTGCTCTGATAAATATCATGATCAAAAGCAACTTGGGGAGGAAAGGTTTTATTTCATCTTACAATTTTCAGGTTACAGTCCATCACTGAGGGAAGTCAGGGCAGGGACTCAAGGCAGGATTGAAGATTGGAAATGATGAAGAAGCCAAAGGAGGAACTCTGCCTACTGGCTTGCTCCACCTGCTTTTTTATACAACTTAGGACCACTTGCATAGAGGTGACACTACTCACAATGGGCTGGGTCATGTCAATCATGTCAGTCATGAATCGGGCATTGAGGTATTTTCTCAATTGAGGTTCCTCTTCCCAGATAACTGTAACTTGTGTCAAGCTGACCAAAACAAACAAACAAACAAACAAAAACAAACGAGGACACCCTTGAAGAAGTTAAATGGCCGTGCCTCTCAGTACTGTTAGATCTGTTTTCTCTGTACTCAGTCAACCACACTACCACTGCTGATGTAGCAATGTTAACTACTAAGTTAAGTTCCACATTTTGGTCTCTAGTTCTGCCAGCTTTTGCTATGCTCATTAGGAATGTTATGGCAGGCCACTCAGCTGACACTGCTGTGTTCTGCAGTACCTGTGACATGACACTGTCCAGCCATACCAGCACTCCACCCCAAGTTCTCTCCTGGAAGAGGTATGGACCTGGCTGGGTAAGACCTCCACATGATGCTAAACAGCCACAGGGTGGTGACCACTTGCTAGTGAGCCTGGTGATAAACTAGGTGCTGCACTATGTGTTGGCAGAACCCAGAATCCCACTGGAGCAGGAAACAAGGCTAGCTAGGCAGTCATGTGCTCAGCTGTGGAAGGTGGAGGGGTGGCAACATTGGCTATAGACATCCAGAGCGATGCAAACCAAAAAGAGGGACCAAGGACACAGACATAGGGACACAAACAGTACCAGTGATGGCATTACAACTATTTGGTTTTTTGTTTTGGGTTTTTTTTGCTTGTTTGTTTTTGTTTTGTTATGCCCATCTACCTAGAAGTCTATTTTAGACTCCAGACCCTGGCCCCTAGGAAACCAAACACTTTGCTTTAGCTACCTGTATGAGGGCTGGCTGTCATAGTTAGAGCTCCCTGCTCCCCGCCCTAACCAGGTGACAGCACTGTTCCATCATAGAGGCAAGTCAACACTTCCCATCACATCTCCAGTGCTGCCCACGATGAGCAAGGGGTGCTGCTACCCCCAACACTTGGCTGCCAACACCACGTCCCTGGAATGCCTCAGCCAGGCGATTCCCAGCAAAGCCCTAAACAAACACAACGCCCGTCCCTAGTAAATAATTTTTGGTTTTTTCCAGGCAAAGGTTGAACAACAATGGTGGGACCCGGAAGGTTCCCTGTTCACAGGAAATACTCACTGTGTCACTATGTGTACATGGGACAGCCTATTGCAATGCTTGAGTCACATGCAAAGGTTTCTATTCACAAGGGCATTTTGATAAACTGGTGTTTTGTGGGGGAGGGAGGCTGGGAAAGTGGCCTATAAATATTTAACAAAACAAAAGGTCCAGGATGGGAATAGGAACTCATTCTTTCTCTCAATGGGCTAGCCTGCCATTGAGATAGGTTTGTACTCCTGGATAAAACCCCATGATAACATTCGCTGGTGAGAAGTTCTTCGTGGTAAAACCTCAGCATCCTTGAGTGACCTTGGGAATTTCAAACACTGTGAGCCCACTTCAGGGCGGCCTTGCTAAGGCTGAGCATGGGGAGAATGAGCTACTTTCCACAGGCTAGGTCATGGTCACCTGATGCCATACTAGAACCAAAGCAAGATCTGCTGAGACATTGGGAGTCTCTCTGGGTCTGCACTGGGGGAATAAACATCTCCAGCTAAAGGCTGGACCACAGAACTTCAGGAAACATTCTAAAGTCACCAGTGCCATGGGAAGACAAGGAAAGAGTGAGACTAGAAGTTCTGTTTCAAAG